ATTGAATGCACGCCTCCCCAGGACGATTTGTCACCCGTCTCGGGTCTTTGATTTCATGACCGGGGATCTCTGCTGTATTTATTGATTTGAACTGACTTCATATTCACACACATTCCTCAGCTCTTCTAGTCAACCATACACTCAGAAGCACTCGACTTGAGTTTCGCACTTATTAGAGCTCATCAGCAGTGCATATCTACCGTCCCGTCTGGGATTGGAACTCCGAACCCATCGCATNCACAGTGCTAACCAGTTCATACCAGGACTGAACCAGATTGCCAATTCATGTGTAGTCTTCAGTGATAGTCAGTTCATTTGGTCCGACAGTAACGAAGGGAGACAAAGATGACAATCTATTAACTTCAATCGAAAGCCTCCCACCATGCAGGTTACGAGCTGATTCGCCAACAAACCTACAAGGCTGGCTTGAATACCATTGATACCTCATTGATGTGGATGTCGTTTTTCTCTTTGGGCAAGCATGTCGAAAGCGTTGAACGATTGTTGACCTTGTTCTTATCGAGCATAGTGGGTGTATTGGAAAGAAATTCTGTCACACGGAACAAGATTGGGCTGTTCGCAAGCCTGGCATACAGATAGATGTTTCATGTACCCATTGTGTCCCGGGGTTGAGGAAGGGGAACACAATTTCAAAATTTAATGCTCCAATTGGACACTTGACTTTGTTCTCTCTATCTCTGAATAATTCCCACAGTATGATTGGAGAAAATATCTGAATGGCGATCAGACAACATATCATATTGATGAGATGGAAGTTCTATCTAACACGTCTTTACAGCGTGCAGCAACAACACCCACAGTGTTCGACATCACAGCATGTCAATCAATATTGTTACATCTCTCTGGTTAGCTACTAATCAGTCTGAACCAAGCAAGCGTACAGAACAATAGATTCGACCGATAGTGCGTCCATCAGCTACGTGCTCTGGGCATCTTCTTCCTGTCAATCATTAAATATTCGATTGCATTTATTGATTTCCTTCACATTTATTTATACGGGAGGGTGAGAGAAATATACATGCTAGCATTGACTTCTTGTTTTAGCGTTCAAAAGGGAGAACACTGTAAGTAGGAAGAAAGCTACAGAGCCGAGGAGGGGGGGTTCCATCAAGTTGTATGTGATAGAGAGCCGGAAGCTAAAAGTGTGGCATCTGGAGATGTTCAGTTACTTGATCCGGATGACGGACGATTAGGCAGTTCTGTATGGGTGAGATAAAGTGTGGTTAGTGAGCGGAATAGTTTTCAGTTTTTATTTTTATAGCAATTACTCATGTATGTTTATGCGCCGGTTTTGGTTCCCCATTTGGATAAAAAAGCAGAATGAAGATTGGAATACTGAGAACAGAGCCGAAGAAAAGATAGAGAATCCAGATTGACTAGGTTCGCAAGAATGGTGAATAGATGCACCAGCACCACACTCAGCATCTCTAACCACCGGTGACCATGATCCCGGGGAGCCTAACGGGACCCAGTGTCCTGGTTAGGGTTTTCATACCCTCGTGCCAGGTCCTAGTTTGAACACCCTTCATCTTTTTCCAACTGCTCCTTGACTCCGCAATCATTGCACGTCGTGGCAACCTATGTGGTGAAATGCTTAACACGTGCCCCAACCAAAGTAATCTATGGAGGTCAACCACTTGCTCCAGTGGAAGACCACGATTACCTAAAACTCTGCGCCTAACCTCAGCATTACTCATCCGATTACCTCCAACAGACTCGTGCAATGCGATGTTCGAGCACCGACAATCTATTTCTATTCTGTTCCCGTAGTGGCCTCTGGTCTCTGCACCGTAGAACAGAACTGAATGAACTGCTGCAGCATATACATTGCGATTGCTCTATCGTTTACCATCGTCTGGTCCCTCTCACCCGTGACCTTAAACAAGTAAATTCCCTTTGACCTTTTCTGTGATCTGATTGGATTATATTCCGTCCCAACAATACGAGACTGTCTGATTACCGGCCTGTACGTTTGTAATACTCTNTACTCTTGTTGTTACGTCTAGTCCATTCGGGTGCTGATGGCACTCCTGCTGCACGATCGAAGTTCACTGTAAACAAAGTGTGGTTTCTGGCTCGGGTTAGCTGGGCAAGCAACAGGTTCGAGGAGGACCGAAGGAATGTCATTCAAGATCACCTGATCTGTCCCCTTTTGTATTTCTTTCTGGGGGATATCTTAAACGAACAGCTTATTCCCGAAAACCTAGAACGGTCGAGGAGCTTAAACAGAGTATTGTGGCGTAGTGCAAAAGTATTCCAACTGCTATCATTCTGAAGGTGGAAGAAAACTCTCCTCACCGGGTTTTGCAATGCAAGTGGCAGAATTGAAAACATATGAAACAACTTTTATAATATGAATATAATTTTTCCGTACTATTTGTTCTTGCTTTCTTTCGGAACTCTATCTCCGACGTAGTTAGCGAGATCATTCAGCGCGAAAACAACCAGCTGGAACAAAATCAAGAAGAGTTTTGCATGGGCCTACATTAGGGGATATTGTTGTCCGTTACTAAGACAAGTTCAAAGTTTTATTATGATTATCTGTTTACCGAACCCGCTTCGAAAAATAGTACGTGTATCTTAGACGAGTCAACCGTTGACCCAGTGTCATCATCGCTTGAGCCATTTCCCACATGGTGCATCGCTCCACTACTGATTCTCTAGCATCGGATTCGGAACCCATCCTCCTCCTGAGCTGGCCCGAAAATCACACGACCGATCGGTCGAACGGTACAGCCGCAACAACGGATCTGGTGCTTGCCCAGCTAACCCGAGCGAGAAACCACACCTTTTTTACAACCGTGAGTCTCAGACAGGCCCAGTAAACTTCGACTGTGCAGCGGAAGTGCCATCAGCACACGGATGGATTGGACGTAACAAGAGCATTACAAAACGTGCAAGCCGCTACTCAGACAGACAGTTGGGGTGAGGAAGTTTAAGCGCCGCAGATCGCGGAATATGATTCAATCAGATCACAGAGAGGGTCAAAGGGAATTTACTTGTTTAAGGTCACGAGTGAGAGGGACGAGACGATGGAGCAGTCGCACTGTACTAGACTCTGCACAGACAGCCGGATTTCGCGACAGATGTCTCAAGTTGGAAAATGCCAATTGAGCCTTCTGTATGCGCGCCGACACCTGGGATGCGTCCGCCAGGTGAGACAGCTGCTCAGATAGCAAAACTTGCCCACTCCCACTACTTATTCCCCAGTTATGGTGAGGTTGGGGACCGGACTAACCCAGTCTTGTAACATTTTACATTTTGAAGGTGCAAAACGCATACCGAACATGGCTACACTAGCACTCGAAATATTCAGAAAAGCTTGCAACTTACCTGGATCTTCACTTAGTAGCACAATGCCGTCTGAATACTCTAGATAAGATCGTCTGCCACCTGGAAGTAAATCGATACCGCTATCCTCGCACAAAGATAGGACTGTTTCAAGAATTAAATCTATCTCGAAGTTAAATAGAAACGGAGAAAGAGGGAACACCACTTCCGTGGTGAACTCTGGCGAAAAAGTGCCGTGAGCTTGGAAGATGTGGTCGATACAACTTCGACCAGGTCTGAAACCAGTCTGGTTCTCACGTGCGGCAGACAATCGACGGAGTATGATTCCGGCGAGAATTATAGAGGCAATGCTGATTAAACTAATTTCTCTGTGGTTTTCACAAGACGATCTATCACCTTTCTTGTGAATCGGTAAGATCACCGGATCACACCATTCCGTTGGAACCTATTCCCTTTCCTACACTGTTCGGACCCCGGTGGATTCGGCGCGTATCAAGCATTGTTTACTAGTCCTTAGAAAAGTGGACAAAATATTTCAATAGTACATGGAAGTTGCCCTCGTAACCCGTGCTGCTCTATTCAGATGGAATGATATTTCTTGTAAAGAAAGAACAATAACAATAAGAACACATGAACGAGCACGATTTGTACGTGATGGGGATGAACAAATACAAATGAAACGAGTGAATGACTGTGCAGCACGCATGTGTGTGTGTGTGTGGATGAATGTGTACAGAGAGAGAGAGGAGGAATTTGCACCTGATAGATAAAAATGATAACCCGATGAGGAGGGGGGATAGTGATATAGATAAAAAAAGAAGAACGCGGACACCAGAACGAGTGTGTGTATCTGTGAGATAAACCAGAGGACCGAAAAGCTGCAGTTCACTCTCCACTCCGATTCCATCGTTTGTTTGCTCTCGCTTTGAGACGGAGTCGGAGAGGGTAGGGATGGGAGAGAGTATTAGGACAGTCAGTAGCGATACGGCAGCCATCGGGACCCGTTAACCGTGTGTTTGATCGTCCTCGACAAAATCCAAAGCCTCTCCTTTGGTTACACATTCAATATGGCTTACCTGTGGTGGAGAACAGGGAAGGGATAATAGAACAATAACAACAACAGGATGTAATATTATTATTATTATATTATATAATAGACATGGAATGATGGTTCACGAGAAAGTAGATGTGGTTTATCGCATCCCGATCAATCGCTCAAGGGTCTGATCTACACGATCTATGTTGCTTGGGACGAGTGCAACGAAAGTGACCGGAGACTACAACTGGTATTCATTCCCCAAAGCGGTTCCTGACTGGAGGAAACAGGACCTGATGAAACAATCTATAGAAGGTGTAATGATTAAATTGGATAGGGCACGTTGTGTTGGAGTTCACAGGACGTGTCCAACCGGTCGCGATGCGATTCACCTTATGTTTGTACAAACCGTATCCATAGTGAGAAGAGAAAGAAAATGCCAAGTGGACTAAGCGCCACATCGATAGATGAATCGTTCGTTTGAACTAAATCAAAATCAAAAAATGTGACTATCCTCACCTAAATAATGCCCCGCAATTCACTCTGATATTATTATATCTCTGTACCTGCGCAAAGATGACATTTAAGCTAACTACTGGTGACCGGGCTCTTACTTAGGCCAAAGGTGGTCGTAAACAAAGTCCATGCTTTCGGGATCAATACGAAATCTGCTTGATGATCTTCGCTAACCCAAGTCCTAAAGCTCGGGTCAACGGTTTACAGAGCCGAATCGGAGGTCCTCGTGACCACTTATTCTGCTTCTTGTCACATTGACTTATTAGAGAAAAGAACTTATTGAATCTTGTAAATTAACGAATGCACTTGTTCCACTCAGAGAGAAAATCAAAATCCGTCCCCAGTTAGCATACTCCAGAAAGAATCAATGAGCTTACCTTGTTCCGGAATTTGACACCGTAGAATTTCTCCGCCGATTCCAACAATTCCGGTCGGAATGTGGTCGTGATGAACTGGGCCTCGGATTTCAAATCCCGGATCATATCGGCCACTGCTTTTCGATACTGCGCGTCCAGTGCGGCATCAATCTCGTCAAACAGATAGAACGGGGCCGGATCGCATTTCTGAATCGCGAAAATCAGGGTCAGAGCGACGAGGGATTTTTGACCCCCGGACAACTGGTTCATGTCACGCATATCAGCCGAGTCCCCGGTAAAACTCACACGGATTCCGACACCGGTGAATCGTTCCACATCGGGAATTGCACTACCACCGGCTCCATCCTCATCACTACTGCCCTCTCCATCTTGCTACATGAGGGCACATCCAAACAGAGCAAGAGAAGAGCAACTGAGATTGAAATAGACATGCCTAACGGATTAGAACGATAAAACGAACGGATAAAGTACTATTTTTGACAACAGTCACCAACTAGTGATGGATTGGGGCTGTAAACGCAACCAGTCGTAAATGAGATTAATTGTCTGGTGATAACCGAGCGGACTGAACTAAAACAACAAGGGAGAAGCAAGAAAAAAAATCAAATTATGTAACCTGTGACGAATTTGACTGATTCAGATCTGGCATACACAAACCCAACACACACACACACACACACACAAAGACCGATAGGTATTCTACTGTGAGTAGCACAAAAGTGTGAACGAGATAATGATGATTAACCTCCAAACTGGAGCAATGCAGTTCGTCTAAAACAAAACATAAAAAAAACGTCCAACTGGTCACTCAGGCGATCGTTGACAGACGGGAGATCGCAACTACCATAACATAACACCGCAAGACATTGGACGAGATCCAAAGAACCG